CCTCTTGATCCATTTATGGGGGGGTGCCCTACAACCAAACAACCCCCCCGACATTTGTGGGGGTGGGGGAATTTGGGGGGGTTGAAGTCCACATACCTTAAAGTTGCCATCGTTGAGAAACACTGGTCTATAACCTCACATTAGAAGAAATCTTGGAGATTTCTAGTCCAACCCCAGCCCAGGGCACTTACATCTCCATGTTGATAGATGGGGAGATTCAAATATGGATACACACCACTGACAGGCGCCAAACACCTCCATGTATGCGTCTCTCCTACTTCAACATGGCTGCAAACTCCAGCACCCATTTTTGGCCACTGTGACCAGGGATGGTCCAGGGGTGCAAGAAAGATTGGAGGATGAGAGGCATTCCAGATGTTCTTGGTGGCCCCCTCCCCGAACTGCAGGATGAAAACCTCTGTCTCACCAGCTGTTGCTCAGTTACAACTGCCAGCCTCCTTCAACATCGGTTCCGCTGGCCAGAGCAACTGGTATTGTAGTCTGTGCCAAGGTGCTAGGCCTCAAGGTCTCCATCCTTTGCGTGCAATCCAGAAACGTCCCCCTTCCTTTGATCCCCGGACAACCATGGGAACGAAAACGGTTCTTTAAAAACAGCCTCGCTAGCAAGGAACCCTTTTTTAAGGGTTGCGTTGATCTCTGTTGCTCCCTTTCTTCTTTTTCTTTTTTTTGTCTCTGCGATCCAGGCTTTATTCTTCGGCTGTGTTCAGCGATTTTGAGCAGTTCTCTGCTCCCGAGATCACCAGGCGGCCTGTGGATGATTTAATTCTGCAAATGAAAGCGTTGAACATCGAGAAGGTGGGGGTCCATTCTTAGCGGTAGATTTATTCAGCTCGGTCGACAGCCTCCCTAGCTTTTGTTTATTTTTTGGAAGGGTAAACTCCTTGTTTATTTCTAGCAAAAAAGGAGATTCGTGGTTCCTTTAAAGACTGTTACAGTGTTCGGATCTTAAGGTTTCATGCCAGAGATCTGTTCGGTGTATGCCACTGAACATACACCAGACAGATCTCTGGACAAAATAGGAAGCAGAAAGCTGTTCTCTTCTACCCTCCCTGCCTTTTACTTTATTTAAACATACAGGGGTCAACAAAACATGGACAATAAAAACTACGTAAGGAAAAGCATGATACTATTTTTTTTTTTTAAATGTGTAGTAATGCATACACATAAAATACGCAGCAGGCAGTGATTGGAAGTGCTTTATTTTAAAAAGTAAAGGAGCAGGGTGGTAATTTAATCCAGAACCCTCTGACCATGTCGATTTAAAACTGGGCTCGGATCACCGTTTTTGCGTCCTCTTGGGATTCCCGATCGTCGTCGTAACCCGAGGACTATCTGGGGCTCCTGATTTTTTTGTCACCATGAACGAATGCAGCTCTCCTGTCCTGCTGCAGTATTCCGTTACGAGTCTCTCTCCATCCCATTGTCTGTGTCTTTCCTATCCATAGGTGATCAATTTCCCGTTTCCGACCCCGCCATCCATGGATGCGCTGATAGCTGCGGAGGAATTGTTGGTGGCACTTGGTGCCTTGAAGGCCCCCACCACAACTGGAAGGTAACAGACATCCATTGGGTTTTGGCCGTAAAGCGTTGATCTGTTACCTCACTAACTCCCTTAGCAGTGTCTATTTTACATCGTTAAGATTAGCCTAAATCCGTGTTTCTCAACCTCAGCAACTTGAAGATGGGTGGACTTCAACTCCCAGAATTCCCCAGCCAGCATGAGAGAAGAACAAATAGATTCTGCCACATGTTTTCCCCCAGAACCCTCTTTTAATGTTTCCTTGTGACCTGTTGCAATACGAGAAGAGACTAAAAGAGTTTTTTTTTTTAAAAAAAACTGCCTCCTTCGCTTTAATTCGAGGTTAAAATTGGGAATCTGCGTTCGCCCGCACCCCCCCAACATCTGCCTCTCCCTTGGAGACCCCCATCTTGGGCACGTCTTTCTGTGTAGCGGGTGACACCATTTCAGGAGTTAGAATATTATTTCACCAATTAATATTTCACCAATTTAATATTCACCGATTAATATAGATGGCCAAGGTCTACCCATCTAAAGTTGCAGTCTTCTTGATGTTTGGCTTGGAGGAATTCTCACGGAACATGCGACGACAAGCTTTTAGGAAAAGTGGGGCTGCGCATTGATTAAAATATGCACCCTGATCTCTCCCCCGCTTCCAAATTTCCTTGTTTCCTTCTTCCAGGTTGGAAAAGCTGCAGGAAGCCAAGTTCAGCTGCCCCATCAGCCCCTTGGGGGTCATCATGGCCTCCTTCCCGGTAGCTCCCCGGTATGCCAAGATGCTTGCCTTGAGCAAACAGCACAACTGCATGCCCTACACCATCGCCTTAGTCTCGGCCTTGACAGTGAGGGAGTTCTTTGAAGAGTTCAACAGGTAAGGCTGCTGCAGGGCTATTAAGAACCTGGTCTCCGTTGCGGTGCATCCTTCAGTGGTTTTATGGGCTCCAAGCTGATTTGTGGGTTAAAGAAACAACCCAGTAAACTGCACGGATTTATCCACGTAGTTGGAAGAGTCAAGAGTGACTCGAAGACACAGAGAAAAATTCAATAGCACTGCAAGGATCAGCCAAAAAGGCGGGCTAGTCGAGGTCCCGCAGAATTAACTGGACATTATTAAGTACCTGGTTAAAACGGACATTGAAATCCAACACATCTGGGGAGCGTCAAGTAGTTATCTAGGATGAGAAATAATGTCCTCCAGGTGAGCAGATATGGGCAAGCTGGGTTTTTTTGTCTCCCGTGCAAATCGTATATTTTAATAGGATGGATTTGGGGGTTAGCGATGCGTAAGCACCGAGCGTTCCTCTCCCCTGCAAGCTTACGTACCAGTTAGGCCTCTGTAAGTTTAACAAAAGGCGTGTACGTGTGAGAAAAGAAAAGCAGAAATTTCCTGGAGGTAAAGCAAGAAATCTACAACGGGACCCCAGAACTTCTGCAGATCAGCAGCTTGGGGCATTTCTCTTGCCTGTCTGATCGATCGATTGAATCATTCATTCATTCATTCATTCATTCATTCATTCATTCATTTTGATGCAGGCCTGCCGTGAGCGAAGAAGAACAGAAGAACCTGAAAGGGAAGAGGGCTCGAATGGTGCAGATGCAACGGGTTTGGGCTGGGCCAGGACCTTCTCGGAAGCTGGGAGACCTCATGGTGATGCTCGGTAACACGGCTCTTCTCCCTGGCTTGTTTGGGGGCGCCAAAGGTTGGTTGGTTGGTTTTCCACCTGAGCTGAGACCCCCTCCTTCTCTTCCAGGAGCTGTGGGCGCCTGTGAATACGCGGGGTGCACTCCTGAGTTCTGTAGCGCAAACGGCCTGCGTTACAAAGCCATGGTGGAAATCCGGCGGTTGCGCGGGCAGCTCACGACCGCAGGTCAGTCTCCCCACCTGCCCCCGTTCGTCCCAGCTCCCGTTCTTGGGGATCTGCTCTTCCTGGCCTTGAGGGCATCATTCAAGTGGGCCACCTCCGCTTGAATGATGGCTCTGACCCTCACAACCTCGGGGTGGGTGTGTTCGCTTCCCAGTGAACGCCGTCTGCCCGGAGGCCCAGCTCTTCGTTGACCCCCAGATGAAGCCCCCCACAGAAGAGCAGGTCACTTTCTTGAGGCAGATCGTCCTGGCAGGGCTGGGAGACCACATCGCCCGAAGGATCCGAGCCGAGGAACTCCTCGACAAGAAGTGGAAAAACGCCTATAAGGTCTCCCCCTCTCGCGCGTTTTAGTGCCAGGACCTCCCTCTTTCTTTAATTAATTCATCTAATTTTATGTAGACATGGCAAGGAAAAAAATAGGTAAAACACCTCGGTACACTGAAACACACACACGTGTAATTAAAACCATCTTTACACGTAAAAAAAAAAAAAAAAAATTAAGCGAGACCAAAAATAAGAGGAAAAGATTAAGGGGGAAAAAAAACCAAAAAAGAAAGAAAAAAATGGGGAGGAAATGTGCCTTATATGTTATTAATAATCGCTGGTTTACTAATAAGTATCACACACTAGTATAATATGATCAGTACGCGGTATTGTTGTAAAATATCACAAAACGTCTGCCGAGGACTTTCACCTTAGCCAGGAAGATGGAGTTGCTGCTGGTTTGTAATATGTGGAGTTTTTTATTCTCTCTTGTTCTGCTTCTGCATCCCACCCTTTTCTCCCCTGCTAGACGCCACTTCTGGACGATCCAGTGTTCATCCACCCCAATTCTGTCCTGTTTAAGGATCTCCCTGAGTTTGTGGTGTTTCAGGAAATAGTTGAAACCACCAAGATGTACATGAAAGGTAAAACAGGCAGCTCTTTCCCTTCCTCGGCATCTATTTTTAAACAACATTTTTAAAGAAAAGAATATAGACAAGGGGAGAGAAAAGACATGTCAAAAGAAGAAGAAGGTAACAGACAAATGTATTTGCTTATGAAATCATAACATATTATTATGTCCCTTTTTTAACAAAATAAAGGATTTTTTTTTAAATCCTTTGGCTCCTTAGAATAAATAGATCCGATCTCTTTATTTAATGACATGTTTTCTAAAAGAAGAATATAGACATGGAGGGAGAAAGGTGTCGTGCAGAGTGATAATCCCAAACACTCCTGTTTGTGCAGAGCGCAGCAAAAACTCCAGGAAAATATTAGCCACGAAAGCAAACACAATGCAAAGG